GAGAGAGAGAGAGAGAGAGAGAGAGAGAGAGAGTAAAGTAGAAAGGGAGGGAGAGAGTGAAAGAGAATGCATGTGGGTGTATGTGTGTGCGTCTATATGTGTATGTGTGTGTGTATGTGTGTGTGTGTGTGTGTGTGTGTGTGTGTGTGTGTGTGTGTGTCCATGGAATGACAGTGTGCCTTTGACTGCGGTCTGTCAGACTGCCCATCACCTTCATAAAGTGCGCGTCCCAACAGCTGGGCGGTCAAGGAGATGGAGTGTATGGCAAAGGAGATGAAAGGGCTCTCGCATGACCTCGAGGACACCAAGAAAGAAGTCTGTGAGAAAAATTCTGTGGTAAGTTTGTTCTTGTTGTTGTTGTCGCTGTTGTTTCTTATTAAAAGCTGATGTTTTACGCCACCATCGACACATTGTAGACGATTTGTGAGGCAGCGCCGTGGAATCAGGCTCTCGTCAAAATAATCAAAATGAAGAAACTTGCATTTTTCCGTAGTCTTGCGAATTTTTATCTTTTTTTTTTTGGCTCAACACCTTTCATGCCCATTAAAAAACTCATTTCAGTGTGGATTTTTCTGAAAAACGTTGATTAAAAGGCACAAAAAGAGTAAATTTTCAGTTACCACTGACTCTTAAGCTAAGTAAATTACTAATTTTGGCGGCCATTTTCTCACTAATTTTATTTCTGAAAACAAGTGACCTCACCTCCTCCTTTCACAAATATCTCGACTTGTATTCAAGATAAATAGATATGTTTTTCATCGAAATAAAGACAAGTGAACAAGCTTTAAGATGATACCAATAACTCTACATGCCAAAAATAGACGAGAGCCTGATTCCACCACGCTGCCTCACATTTAGGATGCGGGCTTCAATCCTGCCAGTCAGGGCTATACCGGCTGAAAGGATACAACATCCCAGCCACTCTATAAAAATGTTCTCCACACAGGAATCTAACTTAGGTTTTCTGCGGGCAACGACGGAGAGCCTAACCTCCGTACCACTCGGGCTGGTGTTGTGAGTTTGAAATTCTCAATTTTTGGAAACGACTGTGAATGGTTGTAAATAATGCCTTCTCAGGGCTTGTGCTTTTGATTGTTCTCGACTTTTTAGTAAGTATAAATTTACTGTAGGGAGAGTACCTTTCAAGGAAACCAAACAGGCGAAGGCAAGAAAGCCAGGAAACCTGGAAACAATATTATTCACCTTTTTCAACAATAGTGACGTCCACTCTTGCGTCAAAGAGTTGCCACTGAATTTTTAAAAAGTAGCCTATTTCCCACGACTTCAACTCCGTTGGTTATTTTAAAAAAATGCTTTTAACTTTGTTTGAATTGATATTCCTCTTTATTTTTTTTTTAAGATTAAAAACTGTACGTTTGGTTGGATAAATTTTGTTTGAAATAAACATTGTCTATTATTAACCATCGCTTTTGAGAAATATCAAGTTAAACAAATTTCAACCACATTTTGTTGAAACACAAAATTGTTCTAGAATGCTGTAATTTGGAAAGGACGTGATTCATTCGAAAGAAATTTGTTTGATTAAAATCCACAAAGAAGAAAATTATTTTGAAAAAAAGAAATGGCTTAAAGAAAAAAGCACGTCAAAAAAGCAAAGTTCACCAATTTTTGAACATCTTGTGAAGGATTGATTGACCTTTTCTTTATTTTCTCTTTGGCATTTAACCTAATTTTCCTTCCCTGTGACATTTAAAGAATATTTAATTTATTTTACACGGGTTAAAGAAAACTAACAATTTCGTTCTGAAATTCAAAGAAGCAGTGCTCTACATGCCCTCCTTTGAACTCGAAACATTTTTAACACGTCGTTCGAAATGTTCAGAGGCGTCCAAACACATGGACCTGCTAAAACATGAGTGTTTAAAGCCACATACACTGTACATATTGAGTATGAAGTGGCTTCTAGAGACTATAGGGTGTGGAGTGCGCAAGAGACAGCATTTTTTAAGTTAACATATCCCGCAACGTGAAAATGGGCTTTGCACTAAACCAAATGTCATCGAGGAAATTATCCCGCTTTTAAAGACATTTGTGCAACCATGAACACATTGCCTTGGTCTGATCCATGTCATCTCGGCCTAGCAAAGATGAAAATGGTACAGTCGTAGGTTAAGATCTGCCTTGATAATGCAGACTGTTGAGATGTATGAAAGTCCTAGTTGCAGATCGTCTACGGACAGACGTCTCATGGAACTCGACTATTGAAATCTTCACCCTGGTGACGTTTAAAGGGCTGTACATGATGCGTAATCGACCTGAAGTTGTCATTTTAAAGGAAATTATTAGTTCTGTTTGGCTATAGATCCAAACTGACGGAACTTCTCTCTCATGACGTTAAAGGTCTTGAGGGCACCTAAACATTCTTTTCATGCCGCGCGCAGAACTTACGAAATGCTAGGGTTGGTGAGTTTGTGGAGAGGCATTGTTCAATACAAAAAGCTCTCTCCTCTTTACTAAATGTAACCACGATCTCAGCAGGCAAACGAACTTTGGGAAAAATAATATCTGCAGACTTCTGTTGACTTGTTAGACTGCTGCAGCTTGCAATATGGCGTGATTATTGCCACTTTTAGTGGCAGGCCTAACGCGAACTGGTGCGTCATGCTATGAAAATGTCGACAAAGTTGAAAATGGGTTGTTTTTTATTCGCCATATAGAGCAAAACTGTTCAATGGACTTCTCTAAAATAAATATCAGACAAATTCCTTTTGTCTTCCAAATGTTTTGTTCAAATCTGAAACGCAAAACTTCAGTATGGAGGAAGATAGGTACAAAACAAGTTGTAGTTTTTTTGGATCACCCTGTACATCATGTAGAACATATTTTGATAAAACTGAGATTGGCAAACAATTAAGCTCCATAACGTGAACATTTCTATCCAGAAAATTTTAATACGCAGCGGATTTTTTTTTTACCTCGTGGAAGGTTTCTGGGTCCATTCTCATGACCACCTATCCAATATTAATATTATTGAGTTTCAAGTTTTGGATTGTTTGTACCTGTTGATTGTACGTCCCCTTGGTTGAATTTTGCTTGACGCTTTATTGAAAGAGAGCCAAAGATGAATGAGTTATTTTCATTTAGTGTGTCCTCTATTTTTAAACATCCAGTTTATAAATGTAATGGACACAAATAAACTAGGTAACCTCATTGCCAGATAGGCCATGGGGTACATGTGGCAATAAGAATTTCTCAATTTTTAGTTATTTAGTTTCAGCTTTAGTTTTTACAGAACTTACAAATTAATTAGGTCATATAAATGCCGATGATTACATTATACCTTACAAGAGAGCGACAAATATTGACCAAAAGGAGAAGCTATAAGGACCATTGATGTTCGATAGAAAAGAAGTAGCAAACCACACCAGAGCACCATCCAACCACAAACATCAGTTAGCCATTGGATTATTTGCAGAGACACAGGTTGTCCGCGTTAGAGTGGCTCTTGTTTGTTTTGGTAGGTGTTTTACGGCTCTCGCAACTGCATAAGATCATATGAGAGCGCGGGGCACATTAAACATTTTCAATTTGGTAGGAATTAGTTATGCCCTGGTGGCGGCCGAAGCCTTATCTTATCGATACTGGACCACCAAGGGATCTTTAACGTGCGGAACTTGCAGATGGGACCTCCGAGATTTTTTGGCCTTATTCGAGATGGCTTGTTGTTTGATCTTACCTACCATAAGATCAGAGGTGCGGCTGAAAGACAGCGGTAAGAAGGTGCCAGTAGCAGCAGTAGAAAAGCCGCAGAAAGAGTAAGGAGCCAAGAGGAGGGGCAAAAAGGGAGGAGGGGGTGGAAGCAGAAAGTGGAGATGAAAGCAGACGGCAGACATGGTTAGAGAACAGGAAAGGGGGTGGAAGGGGAATATTTTGGAGAAGAAAATTTTCCGTCACTGTAAGGTTTCGAACCCGAGACTAATAATAGAATGATAGGCGCGCACAGTAACCTCTAGTCCACGAGAGCCCCCGAAATAATCCTAAGCATATTTGGGGACTCTTCAATGCTCTCCACTCTTTTGCTCGTTTCCTTGGAGGACGCTGCATTCGGGGCCCACGTTCTAGAAACTGTTTCAGGGTTGAAAGGGACGCTAAATTTGTATTATACCGTGCTTGTTTCCTGACAGATCGAGGACTTGCAGCAGGCGATTGAACATGCGGAGCATGATATGGAGAGTCGGATGAGAAGGGCGGATGGACAGCTACAGAAGTATGAGAGAGAGATTAAAGAGAAAACCAGGATGGTTAGTATAAATTTGTGTTTATGTGTGTGTGTGTGTGTGTGTGTGTATGTGTGTATAATGTGTGTGTGCGTGTGTGTGTCTGTGTGTGCGTGTGTGTGTGAGGGGGTGAGTGAGACAGAGAGTGAGAGTGGGTGAAAAAGAGACAAAGAGACAGAGAGACAGAGAGA